TTTTAAAAAAAAAAAAAAAAAAAAAAAAAAAAAAGAAGAAACACGACAGATGTTGAAAACGATTTTTCTTGGACGATTTGTCTCGACGACACGACGAGAATTTCGGAAAAATAGATAAAAGTAAATATCTTTTGTCGGAGGAAAGAAATAATCAAGTGACGTTTCGTCCTTCTTGTTGGAATTTCAAAGAGAGAGGTAGCGCCACGTGCTCGAACGAAGGATATGGAAGGAAGGGTCCTCGAAACAGTGGTAGTGAGGGGATGCGTTTCGGGCTAATAATAGACCGATAAAGGGTTATTTCGTTAATCGAAGAGCGTTCAACCTTACCAAACTCTCGGTCCACTCTTTTGTTAGCAACACGGTTAGCACGAGGAAGACCATCCGTCTCTGTAAATTATCCAGTTCCGCGACCAGGCTTCCTGGTAAGGGGTCCATCGTAAAAGGAACACGCATAACGGGTTTGTGAAAATTTACGATTTCGTTGTTTGGATATGGCCAAGTGGCGCGCAACTCGTTCAACCATCGACCCTTTTCACCATTTTCGTATTCCCACCCCCTCTCCTCTCCTCTTCTCTCCTCTCCCTTTTACCCCTTCCTGTAGAACGCGTTCAGAAAATTCTCTCCAACGTTCTTCTTCCAACGAAACACTTCGCCCGAAATAATTTTTCACTTTTTGGAAAATATAATATTTTTCGGACCGAGATACGAGGAGAGGGGAATACATTCGTTCGCTTTTTTCTGGAAATATCCCGCACAAGTCTCGTCATAAGTCGTGAGCAAGAGCAAGATTTACAATCTTTGTTCAGAGAGAAAGAGAGAGAGAGAAAGAAAAAACAATGGTTTTTTCGCGTAACGGAGAACGCTTCGTTCCGTTTTTTCCGTCATCTCTCTCCGTTTCTTCGCCTCGAAGAAATTTTTACCGTTTCTTTCGTCCTTTCCTTTTTCTTTCTTTTTTTTTTTTTTTTTTAGGTAGAAGAAACGGTTTGGCGAGCCAATGTTTTACGATAACGTAGCGGTGCTTTATGAATTTATGCCAAGTCGTTTCGACCGTCACACCCCTTCCTTCTTTCCTTCCACCGTCTTCTCGAGTTTTAAGGGTTATACAACCCTTGCGGAGTATTCCGTGTCCCTTCCCTCCCTTCGCGCGCTTTTTCCCTCTTTTTTATTACTTCCTCGACAACCTCTCTCTCTCTCTCCTTGCTCCTTCGAGGCTTGAATCAACTTTACTGCCAGTCGAAAGGCTTAGCGGTAGAAAAGTCAACTCGATGGTATTTGGGAAGGGGAGGAGCGAGAGAATTAACCCGGTCTCTCGTTTTTATGATTTTTTAAAGAAAAAGAGCCAGGAGGTATATACCGTTTTTTTACCCCCTCCCTTTGGCGCATGTGGGTCACTCCGTACAAATACTCGACTTCCTTCGTTTTTACCGTTTTTTTCTTTCCCTTCCTCCGTTCCGGAAATTCAGGTACCGACTGTTTTACCCTATCGTTTTTTAGGGTTATTGGCGATCGATCTCTACCTTGCAAATCACTCGGGTACACGTTGCCCTTTTCATCGTAGCGCATATTTTTTCCGAAATGGAGGAGCCGAGTGGAGGATCGAGCTAATTTCATCTCGAACGTTTCAGAAAGGATAGATTCTTTGAAATTCTTTCATCACGCGACGAATATGGAAAAATTTTAAATTCTTCACCGTTTACAATATATATATATATCGAGAGATCCGTCGAATAGTAATATCGATAATTTTATTAACGAGGATGAACAATTTGATGAATTTTTCCGATTGGATCCAAAGATATTCTTCTTCCGAAAAAAACGTGGAGCTGTTATATATATGTATATAAGGGAATAATGGGATAAACAAGCAGGATACCTTCTTGAAAGAGTCTGGAGAAAAAGCTTAATGGGAGCTAAACTCTCTTTACGGCCGAAAAGTTTTCTTAGGTGGCAATGACCCAGTTTCGGTTTAACAGCGCCTACCATTATGGTCGATTTTTATGCTTTTACAAGGTCGACGCTGGTGCATGCGGGTGAATGGCGAAGATGGGAAACGAGAACCCAAAAAGTGGGATACCGTTTCGTGTTTTTCTGGATCAAGGGTCCACCTAACGGTGGTCGTGTTTTTAATAACGGTGTCGTATATTTTAATAGCATTGCTCTTTTTTTTTTTTTATCTCCTTTTTTCTTTCTTTCTTCCTTCCTTCCTTCCTTTCTTTCTTTTTTTTTTTTTTCTGGCACAAAGACGTTTCATTGCCCGTCGTAAGACCGTCGTCCGCACTAATTTTTGACCAAAACAGGGCAGTTTTTTGGCCTCGGTCCTCCACGAATCTGGAACATTTTTTCACGACCGTCGTAAAGAAATAAACTTGGAAAAGTTCGTTTTTTTGATTTACGACATTCAGTCTCGCCTTTTGAAAAACTCCACGGTCCTCTTTGGAAATCACGCCTAGGATTTACTGCGTGCTCGACGAAAATTCGGCCGAGATTCCGACGGTTTTGGAAGAGAACGATGGTTCTCGATGATGGGTCCATAAGAGAGTCGTCCTCGAAGAATGCATAATGTTATCTTTATCTGGTGAAAACTAAAAACGGGGGGCCTATGAAAGACGTCGAGGGGGAAGAAGAGGCCACAGTGATGCTAATCAACCGAGTAATCTCTTCTAATACGCGTTTTAGAATGCGCGACGTGGCGCGCGGTTAGACCAGCTGCATCTAACCCCCTCTTCCTCGTCTTCCCTTAAATAAAAGGGTGTCGAGAAGAGCGTCGAGCCTTTTCGCGTTAACGGATCGTCACGAGATAAAGGGAGCAACTCCCTCTCTACGTTTCATCTTCTGAAAAATATATCCCCCCTGTTAAATCGAAAAAAGAAAGAAAAAAGAGAAAAAGTCGGTGACTTCTTTTTTTTTTTTCCCTTCGACCACTTTATGTCACAACGCGACAAAAACAGAGGAGGTGAACAAGCTCGTAGAATATAAATATCAGAGCAGAAACGCAGAAATGGTGGTGGTTAGGCGTGCGGAAAGCATCGAAATCCCAGCAGCCTCATATCATCTCCGCTGGAAAGGAAATACACCACAATGAACGTTTTAAAGTAAACCATGCGACGCATGCAACCCCCCTCTCCCTCTCTCTCTCTCTCTCTCTCTCTCAGCCAAAGCCAGACCACCACCATCCAAATTCAAACATGCCACCCCTTCGCTCCGCGTTCTTCCACACACGCAGAGGATCGCAGAGGGCGCATACNCGCGCGATCCGCCGGCTGGTCAACGCGCGCTCAGGATGACACTGCGTGCGTGAAAGGGCTCGTGGATGCACAAAGAGTGTGGCCAGCCGAGTGGCCGGTGTGTTGGTGACTTAATTCGGTGTGAATATATGCAAGGCCTCTCGGATCCCTGCGACCATCGACGAGCACGTTCACGGCGCGCACCGCTCCATACACGTTCGGTAGCGACAGCCTCGACGAGTTTAGAGTCAACGTTTCAAATTTTACCGTCCCTGTCAAATCCTCGCCTTTTCTCTCTCTCTCTCTCTCTCTCGAAGAAGAAGAAGAAGAAGAAGAAGAAGAAATATGCGTACACGTGCAGTAATCGATCGCGATTCCTCTTTCTCCCGAATTTCAAAAAGTTGGTGGAAGAAAAAAAAAGAAAAGAAGAAGAAGAAGAAGAAAGCAACGAAAGGAAAAAATTGTACCATTTCCGCTTCGAGAACCGCTAATCAAAATTCGAGGAAACGTGGATGAAACGACGGCCGGTTGGTGAAAAACAGATCCGAGAAATATTCGCAAGATCGGCAAGAATTTTCCAATTAAAGTAACATTCAAAGCGACGAGTGGACGTTCGGCTAAATTACTTGAGCGTGGAGAGAACTCGCTAAATTACTTGAACTCGCGATACAGAGAGGATCGAACGGCCATCACTAGC